CTCCTCTTCGATGATCAAGGCCCACAAATTGAAAATACGTTTGATATTTCTCCAGACATGCCTCAGTGAAAAAGTTATGCCTAGATCAATCCTCCCACAACATGTCCTGAAGATGTCTGACCGCCCCTTTGATGAGTTCCAAGAAATCATCCTTAAGAAACATATTGAAATAAAGAAATTTGAAGTGGATGAAGCCTTCCGTATTGTAAGACAAAAAAGCGTGCTTTTAATATGACCATACCGAGTTATTGGAAAAAGTTCATGTTGGATTACTGTTTTGATAACCTGAGACGTGAGCGTTCTGATCTTCAAGCTAAGATAGACCACAAATTGGCACTCCTTATTAGAAATAGTGACTGGACTAAGGATGCCAATCACAACTGTGTAGTGAATCTCTCCTCTAAACAACTAGACAATAATACCTTGTGTGCTCTCGGCTATGGTTTAAATTTTGATGGTTCTAACAAGGGAGTCGACAGTGTTGACATAGCCAGAGCATTTTGCAATTTGGAAAATTCAGTAATTTGACAAGTGAAGAAGTGAACATGTGTAAAGGTGTTGTGTATGCATCTATGTCCAAGCCTTGCATTCTAAACTGTCCAGAAAGATTCACCAAAGCAATCCAAGCCCTTAAGAAAAATAAGGATCTACATGTCACTAAAGCAGATAAAGCCAACACAGTAGTGATTTTAAACAAAGATGACTATATCTCTAAAATGAATGACCTTTTATGTGATACTACAACATATTCTAAACTCATAAATAATCCTCTCAACACCGTCAACACCCAGTTCAACAAAAAAATGAAGTCCCTATTGAGAGGCAAAGCTACTCTCATTAAACATCTTACTTCAACGTCCCCTCCACTGCCATACATGTACGGTGTAATCAAGATCCACAAGCCCAATAACCCAGCAAGACCCATCATTAGCTCAGTTTGGTCAATCCCTTATAAACTATCTAAATGGTTAGTTTCTTTACTAAATCCGCTAGTTGGCAACATTTCTAACTCCAATATCAAGAATAATATGGATTTGGTTGATAAACTCAATGACTTACACATTAATTATGATTTTAAACTGGTCAGTTTTGATGTAACATCACTCTTTACAAAGGTCCCAGTTGATGATTTACTAGAGTTCCTCATAGATTCCCTGGATGATATTTCACTGCCCGTCTCGAAAGACGACTTCATCGAACTCATGAAACTATGTATTAAGGATTGCAAATTCGAATTCAATGGAGAATATTATGCTCAAAAATTTGGTATGGCAATGGGTAATCCACTCTCACCTGTATTAAGCAACCTATATATGGAATTCTTTGAAAAGAAACTATTAAATAATATTTTACCACCTTCAGCAGTCTGGTTTAGATATGTTGATGATGTATTATCTCTCTGGCCATGTAATGAGAACCTAAAAGCTTTCCTGCCACAACTTAACTTCTTAGCCCCCTCGATCAAATTCACTGTGGAATTAGAGCAAGACTGTAAATTGCCATTCCCAGACTGTCTGATACACAGAATAGGTAACACTTTTAAGTTTAGTATTTATAAAAAACCAACTAACGTGTGTTCATACATTCATTATTATTCTGCCCACCATAATAAAGTCAAACAGTCAGTATTTTCAACAATGTTTTTACGTGCCTTGAGAATTTGCAGTCCGGAATTCATTGATGAGGAATACAAATATATATATAATATTGGCTCAAACCTTAAATACCCTAGATCTTTCATAGACAAATGCCTAAACATTACTAAGAAAACTTTTTATAAGAACATAAGAACATAAGAAAGTGGGATACTGCAGGAGGCCGACTGGCCCATACAGGGCAGATCCCTTTCACACCCATCCCAGCACTTCCATTTGCCTATCCAACTTCGTCTTGAAGCTCTCTAGCGTCCCCGATCCTACTATAGCACTCGGTAGCCTATTCCACATAGCCACAACTCTATTACCAAACCAGTGCTTGCCTATATCCTTTTTGAATCGGAATTTATCTAATTTAAAGCCATTTGTCCTAGTTATTTCGTTATTACTGAGCTTCAGAACATCTTCCATTTTACCCTTGTTAATCCCACTTACCCACTTGAACACCTCTATCATATCTCCCCTAACTCTACGCCTCTCTAATGAATGCAAGCCTAAGCTTTTCAGTCTTTCTTCATATGGAAGGTTTCTAATATTATGGATCATTTTTGTCATTCTTCTTTGTACTCTCTCCAAAGAATCTATGTCCATTCTATAATAAGGACACCAGAATTGAACCGCATAATCCATGTGTGGCCTCACTAATGCTAGGTAAAGTTTCAAGATAACGTCAGCAGTTCTGTTACTCACACTCCTAGATATGAACCCAAGAATCCTGTTTGCCTTGTTGAGAACGCTAATACATTGTTTTCTAGGTTTCAAGTCGTTGCTAACAAATACACCTAGATCTTTTTCACAATCTGAGTTTTCTATTTCCGTGTTACCTAGTTTATACTTAACGTTTGTATTCGTCTTCCCTATCTGTAGTACCTTGCATTTATCAGTATTAAAATTCATTTGCCAGTCTACTGACCACTCATGTAAGGTATCTAGATCTCTTTGAAGGTGTTCAAAGTCACTGTCTGAATTTATCACTCTCCCCATTTTGGTATCATCTGCAAATTTACTAATCCTACTAGTTATACCTAAATCAAGATCATTAATGAATATAACAAACAGCAAAGGGCCTAATACAGATCCCTGGGGAACTCCGCTTTTGACCGCACCCCAGTCTGACTTAAATCCATTTATGCCTAAACATTACTAAGAAAACTTTTTATAGAACTGATCCTAAGCCCACCCATGACCATAAGAATCTCTTAATATTACCATTTCACAAAAATTTCTCACACATTCCTTCACAACTAAAAACCTGGAACGTCAATGTGGCATTTAAAAACTCATGCACTGTTAAACAAATGTTAATCAAGAACTCCCCCAACAACACAATTGGTTGCATTTATAAAGTTCCTTGCAAGGAATGTAATATGTTTTACTTAGGCCAGACAGGTAAAGATCTTGCAACTAGAATTAAACAACACAAATACAGTGTTAGGACAGGCCAGGAATCCAATGCTCTGTTTGTTCATTTGAGGGATAACAAGCATTGCATTGACTGGGATAATGCCTCCTCAATATTACCATGTAATTCAATTGATAGTAGGAACATCATAGAATCTAGTCTTATTAAACATACCGAAGCATTCAACATGAATTTGAGTAACGGCATGTACAAGCTGGACAATTTTGTAATTAAGAAGATTTGTAACCAGGTGAGAAGGTGGGTCACCTGACCATCTGACCTGACCACCAACCGTTGTGTGCTATTTAAAGATTAGTAGGGTCATTACCTAATACCTGACCATTGTGGACCTGGTCTCACCCTCCTCTGTATATATACACCTTGGTTTGTATTTCTCTTTAGTCTGTACTCACCCCTGAAGATGTGAATTACACGAAAGCGCTTGGGAACTTGTGTTTTTCTTTCCTGTTCAGCATATATATATATATATATATATATATATATATATATATATATATATATATATATATATATATATATATATATATATATATATATATATATATATATATATATATATATATATATATATATTAATGTTTATGAAGTATTTAGTTGTTACTGAGAGTTTGTAATATATTCTTATGTAGTGTTTAATGAGTTCTCTTACAACAAGACATTGACCTAATAGGGTACTCTGTCTTCCTGAAGTGTTGTTGTCGTCACAGTAACAAATGTCAAGTGTTTTGTGTACACTTTTATTACAAATACCTTAATGTGTGTATTGTACTGAGTGTTTGTAGTGTTTATACCGGGAATAGACCTCAGCTGGCCAAGTGTAATGTATATACAGTGAAAAATGGAATATAATTTTATACTCTTTCATATCAAAACTTTGAAGTGTTTGTGTGTGTGTGTGTCAGGCCACACTCTAGTGTGCTGCCTCCTCGCTCCAAAAAAGGATATTTACGAATTTGTGTTAAACAGTATGACACAACTTACGAAGGATTTTGTCAACCTTTTCGAGACAACATGAGTCGCAGTCATTTTGAAATTCATCAGATCTCTCCTTAAAGATGCTTTTGGGAGTGAGTGTACAGTACATATTTAAGTGTTTATATCTGCCTTGAAAATTTAATCTATAGTCGTAAAATATTTAGTAGCTGCTTCTACGGTAATGTATATACACAATACTCCATGCTGTTCGTCTCAAGTGCTACTTTACTTGTAATATCCACAACACTAACTCGTAAGCAAAAATATTAAACTAACTTTGTTTTACTAATCTTTGCCTTTAAGGAGAAACTTCACTCGACAGTAGTCGTCCATTCATTATATACTTGTAAAATGGATATAATGTTTTATAATTACTGTATCCTGAAGATGAAATAAGTTGTCATAATTAGAAAAGTTATATAGTCTTTACTCACTACACTTTATGCTGATACTATTATTATTATTATTATTATTATTATTATTATTATTATTATTATCATTATTAAATCAAAGACAGTGGGTGTACAAAAACTTCCCTCCTGTGACGTCACAATCAATTAATCAAGAGAGTCAATCGAGGGGAAAAACTTCTGAGGTTATCCACTCGAACCGTGACCCAGATTCTCCTCATACTGAGTCTATATAAGGAGAAAAGAAGCAGGAAATTAAGAGAGAGAGAGAGAGAGAGAGAAACAGATAGACAAAGAGAGAGTTTTATTTATTTATTTTTTTAATCTCACATTTTTGTTTGTCTATTTTCCTTAACTCTCTCTGATCACTAGTCTCTCTCTCTCTCTCTCTCTCTCCCTCTCTGCCCCTTATCTTTTTATGCTTGTTAGTCTGTCAGTTGGTCTTTCTGTCTCTTTTCTTTTCATCCTTCTAGGTGTGTGTGTGTGTGTGTGTATGTGTCTCCACCATCCACTAACCAACCTTTCACTTCCCTCCAGAACGCTGAACAACGTGAAGCTGACAACAGTTCGTAATGATTCCTTCATCTCTTACCGCCGGAGTCTACACGAGATGTAAGTACTGTAACTTTACCTTCACTAATATAATTTAAGATTGTTACTTAACCCTCATTAAGCTGATCCTAATTATCTACATACACTTTATTTGCATGTGTATCACTTGAATTAGTTTCTTAACTACTTAACTAGATACACTTTAACTTTACTTATATTACTTAATTCAGGTACACTTTAATTTAACTTATGATACTTAAATCAAGTACTTAGACCTACTTTAGGAGAATACATTCATCTCAATTTCTTTACTTAAATCAGGTATACCTAAACCTCACTATACTGAGTGTACGTAAGTAGAATCACTCTCTCTCCTTTTGTTTTACCTTTGTCAGGTCTTTAACCTTATCTAACTAGATACACTTTACTACCATTATTTTTAATTTTATCGCTAAACTAACCCAACTTAGCTAGATTATATCTACTTTATAGCCTCACCTAACATATAGTAGTAGTTCCCCTCACTTATTATATATTAATGACTTAATCTTAAACAACTACAGGTAATGTTAAGTAGTCTTTCTATCATATCTTTACTTATATAAAGTACTTTATCATCACTCGTTAAATGTTTAATTCTCTTTAACACCACACTGTATACATATAAATAATAATAATGGAAGCCCCTCGAAATCGAGGATGGCCGGCCCAAGGGCCTCCTTGGCGTGAATTTGTTAAGGTGTAGAAGTTGTCGCCAACACAACAACCACACCCCAAGTTAACGAGCTGCATGACCCAGCGTCAAGGAATAGTCCGAGAAGACTGGACAACTCGCCAACTGAACTGGCTAACCATTAACCCGGAACACGATCTGCAAATCGATTAACATCCAGGTTCCCAATTACTGCTGGGTAGACAGAGGCAAAAGGCGTAAAGAAACTTGCCCATATTTTCACCCTCTCCGAGGATCGAATTCGGGTCCGCTCGCTTGCGAGGCGAGGATGCTGACCATTACACCACAGGACACCGTGTATACATATACAGGGTGTCTAATAGGTTGTGCACCACCTTACAGGGTGCCTCATAGGTTTTGTACCAGTATGCAAAGTGTCTCATAGGTTTTGTACCAGTATGCAAAGTGTCTCATAGGTCGTGCACCACCATACAGGTACAGGGTGTCTCATAGATTGTGCACCAATATACAGGGTGTCTCATAGGCTGTGCACCATTACACGGGATGTCTCATATGTCGTGCACCGTTATACCGAGTGTCTCATAGGTTGTGCACTATAATACAGGGTGTCTCATAGAGTGTACAACATCATACAGGATTTTTCATGGGCTGCGCAATATTATACAGTGTCTCATAAGTTGTACACCATTATATATGGTGTTTCATAGGTTGATCACCATTATACATGGTGTCTCATAGGTCGAGCACCATTATACATGGTGTCTCATAGGTCGTGCAGCATTATACACTGTCCCATGCATTGTTCACTAATATACATGGTGTTTCATAGGTCGAGCACCATTATACATAATGTCTCATAGGTCAAGCACCATTATACATGGTGTCTCATAGGTCGAGCACCATTATACATAGTGTCTCATAGGTCGAGCACCATTATTCATGATGTCTCATGGGTCAAGCACCAATATACATGGTGTCTCATAGGTCGTGCACCATTATACAGTGTCCCATATATTGTTCATCATTATACATGGTGCCTCATAGGTCGTGCAGCATTATATAGTGTCTCATACGTCGTGCAGCATTGTACAGTGTTCCATATATTGTTCACCATTATACATGGTGTCTCATAGGTCGTGCAGCATTATATAGTGTCTCATACGTCGTGCAGCATTGTACAGTGTTCCATATATTGTTCACCATTATACATGGTGTCTCATAGGTCGATCAATATTATACAGTGTTCCATTTATTGTTCATCATTATACATGGTGTCTCATAGGTCGAGCACCATTATACACAGTGTCTCATAGGTCGAGCACCATTATACATGATGTCTCATAGGTCAAGCACCAATATACATGGTGTCTCATAGGTCGTGCACCATTATACAGTGTTCCACTAGATTGTTCACCAATATACATTGTCTCATAGGTTGTGCACCATTGTACATGGTGTCTCATAGATTGTTCACCTTTGAACTCTGGATTTTAGGACATAGCCAACACATACCTCAAGACACATCATTCTGTTGTAAGTTTACCAATCACATACCTATCTAGCTTTTGTCTCTGTCGGTCTGTCGCGCTCCCCCTCTTTCTTGATCTGTCTTTTCTCTTTCTCTGTTTGTCAGCCTATCTCTCTCTGTCTGTCAAGTGTCTGTCTCTTTCTCTGTCTGTCTGACTGTCTATCTTTTTTCCCTCTCTTTCCCTGTATATCCGTCTGTCTACCTGCCTGCCACTGTCTGCCTCTCTCTGTATCTCCCTTTCTATGTGAATTTGCATGTGTACGTCTGTTGTCTGTCACTGTCTGTCCATCTGTTTATCTCGCTGTCTAGGGTCTCTGTCTCCGTCTGTCACTATCCCTCTCTCTTTCTGTCTCTCAGTGATGGTTACAAGTGTTCCCTGAAAACTGCAGTGATGGGTAGGGAAACACCGGGTAACACTGAAGTCCATTTATTTATGGATAAGAGAAATACAAGTGGTGACTAGCGTGTGCCATGCACGGCTCACACAGTCAGACTGAGACTACCTTGCCATATGGCAGCCTCGGGGCAATGTTGCCACATAACGTGCAGTGTTGCCACGTGATGATATATATAAATGCTACTCGGCACGGTAGCTTATATACAGGGTTGCTACTCGGCACAGTAGCTTATATACATAACCTACATCACCCCCCCCCCCTCACGCTCATAGTCTTTGTCTTGAGCGGACTTCTTAGTCCTAAGTCGCTCCGAGCGTCGAGGTGCATTGTAGGGCGGATCCTCGTGAGGTGTAGGTGACTCGTCCTCGGTCAGGGGGCCAGCAGCAGGGGGTGGGACTGGCCGGAGGAAGCGGCGGTTCCTCCACCAGACACGGCCGCTCGGCATCCTGACCTTGTAGTCCCGCGACCGGCCGACGCCCATCACTATGCCCACCTTGTCCCAACGTGTCGTCGTCGGGTCCTGGACGCGGACAAGGGCACCAATCTCCAGTGGCTGAAGAGGGCGGGCACGGTCGTCATACCGAGCCTTGGCGTCCTGGGCACGTGAAGCGGCGCGGCGGTCGCAGCTCTCGGCTCTGGTCTGCCAGTCCTTCGCAAAGGCCTTGGCGTGTGCAGGAACGCAAGAGCGGAGAGGGTGACCATACAGGATCTGGGCAGGGGAGCGTCCTGTGTGGGTGGGAGTGGACGCGGGTTCTGGGCAGCTCTGTGCGGCAGCGCCAGGCGCGTCGCTCGTTGACTCACGCACCCTGCTGGCGGTGTACCGAGCAGCTGGGATCTGCTCGGGAAAGTCTCTGGGCACCACGCCTAACTCCTTGCAGTGCTCCCACGACAACAAGGGTGTAGCGAGAGTAGGCTGCACGTCGATCCATCCGTGACACGACCTGTCGCCGTAAGTGATCTCCGCTTGAAAGGAGCCCACAGCGTCCGGCATCTGGGAACCGTCCGCATTGTAGTACTGCAGCTGCGGCGGTGGTCCCAGGTCGCGTTTGGTGAGGCCCAGTTTCTGGAGGTGCTTCAACCCAATCACCGTAGTATCAGCGCCGGTGTCCGGTATCACCTCGATGTGACCCGACACATCACCGTGTGTGACGGCGACGCGGATGGTGGGGGAAGGGGTAGCCCTGGGGCGTGTGGTCGATTCCACCCTCCTGATGTGACTCCGCTGCTGCTTGGGGCTGCGTGGGCCATCTGGAGGGGGCTGCGTGCGAACCACCCCGAGGGAAGTGCGCTGCTTTCCTCCTCGTCTCGGGCTTTTGGGCTTGGGTTGGCGGCAGCACTTGTCGTAGTGTCCATAGCGACCGCAGGCCTGACACTTGCGGCCTCGTGCAGGGCACCTGTCTGTGTTAGACCAGTGGCCCTTACGGTCACATCCACGACACAGTGCGTCGGCGGCCGGGCAAGTCTTGGGGCCATGCTGCTTTCCACAGCTGCCACAGGAAGCACTAGGCGGAGGCGTGGAAGAACGTGTGGCAGCCTTCGCGTTGTTGGCCGCCTTCTTACCCTTCTTGTATTGTGAGATAGCTCTCACAGCAGGTGGGGCCCGTAAGGCAGAGGTGGCGGACTTGGTGGCCTCGTACGACCGACATTCAGTCACTACCACCTGGAGTGTGGAGGAAGCGTCCAGGGGGATGAGTCGCTGCACCAACTCTTCCTGCCTGACACCTGCCAAGATCCCGTGCTTGATCCAGGCTTCCTCACATTCCCGGCTGTGCGCCTTGCAGACGTCGATCTCCTCTGACAAACTCTTCAAGCGTACAAAAAAGTCGTCAAAGGATTCGTTCTCCGCCTGCTTGCAGCTGGTGAAGGCGCGGCGACGCAAAGCCTCGTTATTCCGACCCTTAACATGCTCCTGTAAAAGGTCGAGCACATCCGTCACTGAAGAGGTAGAATCGGGAGGCACTTGCAACGTGTGCTCCAAAACTCTCTGGGTCTCCAGCGACAAACACATCCGCAGTTGGATGAGCTGTTTGTTTGGAGGCATGCTGTCAAGGTCCACCATCGTGGAGTAATCTGTCCAACGCCGCCTCCACTCACGAAAAAGCTGAAACGTGACGTCTGGTGAGAGGGCGGGTGGGGGTTGGACAGATGCCTTGGGAGCTGTTTGTTTGGAGGCAAGAGTACCTGGAGGACGCTGGTGTGGTGGAGGAGGGAGTGAGGGAGGGTGGGTTAGCGCCAGGGTCGCCAATAGTGCATCAAAACGCGACTTTTCCTCCTCTCTTCGTGTCTCCTCCCTCTGAAGTTCCATCTCTCTACGTCGCTCGTCCCGGTCGTCCATCCACCTCAGAATTGTGGCAATGTCCGTCACTGGAGGTGGAGGATGAGAGTCTGCGCCCGGTGGAGGAGAAGGTGGTGGGGAGTCGTGTCTCCCATCTTGACGTTG